TATTGCACAGGTTTCTCTTTCATTTTCTTAAAATGATCCCACACTTTGAGCTCTGTTGGTTGGTAGCCATGATACCAGAGCCTGTCTGTATAATGTCTTGTGACGTCCACGGCCTACCCCAGTTACCACTACTGCGCATGTGTGTCAAGGACAGAAAGGCAGATGTGGCAGTGGAAGGTGTCAAAGCAGTTTGGAGAGAAAAACAAAGTAAAGAAAAAAAATCGATTATTAAATTAGTCATCGATTCTTTTAATAATCGATTAGTCGTCGATTAATCGACTAACCGTGGCAGCCCTAATATAGAGTCCACAATACCATGGAAGTTGCACCAATCCGTCTGTCAGCATCATGCTCTATTCTTCACTCATGAACAAAACCCCGACATACTTGAACTCCTCCACTTGAAGTCAAACCTCACCCCCAACATGGAGAGAGTAGTCCACCCTCTCACTGAGGACCATGAACTCATTTGGAGGTGCTGATGCCCATCCCAGCTGTGAACTGCTCCAGTGAGAACTGATGATCACAACACGATGACGCCAACAGGATCACATCATCTGCAAATAACAGAGATGGGATCCTGTCAGTCTCAGGGTGGGAACAGTCTAATTCCCACCCTGAAGGGGTCCGACACACTGCCAGCAAAGTGAACCAAACTCTTACAATGCTTGTATAAGGACTGAATGACCCGTAACGGACCCACAATCCCATACTCATAGAGCCCCCCCCCTCCCCCCCACAGAGTATCTCAAGGAACACAGTCCAATGCTTTCTTCAAGGCCACAAAACAAATGTAGACTGGAATATGGGCAAACTACCATGACCCCTCAAGGACCCTGGTGAGGATAAAGAGCTGGTCCAGTGTTCTACGGCCAGGATGGAACCTGCATGTAGTGAATGGCGTTCCATTTATGCCATCGGCTTGTGCGCGCAGTAACACTGATTTGAGAGCAGATATCAATGTGAACAAACAATAATTTGAACCATGTGCATTCAACTAACACACGTGCACGCGGCTTCCTCCCTGCTTGCTCAATTCTCTTCCTGCTTGTGCTCGACTCCTTCCATCCCTCCTCTCAACTTCTCCTCTGCTCGCTCGCAGCTCTGTCTCTGCGCTCTCAACCCAAAAGTTATATGTAAATGGACCACATCACCAGCCAATCAGAGACAAGATTCTTTCATCCAATCAAAGCACTTATTGTAAATCTACAAAACCGAGAAGCTGAAGTGACAAAATCTTAGATGCAGGCCCATTAAATCAGCAAAAGATAATAATAAGATATATTTTATATATTTTGTAGCCCAGAATATTTAGTTAAGCATAAAAATATTCTTATGTGCAAGAAGTAATTAAGTTTAGAAAAATTCAATGTGTGAATGTCTGTAACTTTAAAGCTCTTTGGAGTCCATACAAACTTGATAAAGCACTATGTAAGTTCAGTTCATTTTTAGAATTTACAAAAACTACAGAAAGCCCAATAGCGTTTTATTTTAGCTGTTGAAATAAATATCACTCGCTGGCTGTCTTTATTTCTTCTATTCAATCATCATTTATGATTTTGAACAGTGGGTTAATGCTCAGTTCATGCATGAAATGGACAGTATATTGCTCTGTAGTTGTGCTAATGCTATATACAGCATCATGAGAGGACGTATGAGGCAGCATCTGGGTGTTAGTTGTAAAAATGCCGGTTGATCTGGATTCATTCAGGGCGCCATGGTAATGAGGGAGAACGTGAGTGAAAACATCTAATGTCTAATTCTTGGACACAGACAGTATATAAGTTATAAAAGCTGAGCATCACAATATTGGGAAAAGTTTTGAAGTTAATTAGATTAAATAATAAATTAATTACTTAGGCGTGAACATTAAGAACAGCATATTTCAAAACTGTATCAGTTGTAGGTATGCAGTCATGTCTGTAAAAGTCTGTGCTTGTACACTGGATGGCAAGCTTGGACATGAATTAGTTTAATGTGTATTTGTAGATCTAGATGCTTCCGTGATTTATTGGATTGTGGAAGATTAAACTGAATGCATTAATGGGATGGACTCACAAGCATTTTTATGAAATAACTACGTTATGTGAAGCAAATAGAACTGTGGTATGAGATGGTTATGAATGCTCTTGTAAGAATTGAAAGGCTTTACGTCTTTATGAATGAGGCAAGATTAAATATATGATAATATTCATGCACACCACACATAGGGTTTGTACATACAAAAGATAAAAGTAAGCCTGTGCTTTGTTTTCCTATATATTACCATTACCAACCAGTAATGGTATTCCCTTAGGGGTCACATGAACAAGCCATAAACAAACACAGCTGGTCAGCTAGGCAACAGACTCATCTATTTATTTAATAGGACCTATTTGTTCTGTTCCCTGAAGGTCTCTGGAGCCTGCTGCCACACAGTTTATCCTTGATGTGTTGACAAGGGAACCTGTCAAAAGTAAATAGACAATAATAAACTATTTTTATTTCATTTTACAGTTTTTTTTCCTGTCAAATTTTAAATGCCATCAGCAGCAGCATTTCAGGCTAAGTCCACAGTTTTCTCAAAACTCTCTACTTCACTTTTATGACTTAACTTTTACAGTTAGATTTACACATTTAGATTAAGGATTTAATATTTATTAGAAAATTTAACATTTAGTAAAAATTAGCAAAATGTAAGAACAGTGAGCTAAAAAATAAAATCCATCCATCCATTATCTATACCTGTTTCTTCCTTTCGGGGACACGGGGTTCAGTGGTGCCCATATCCAGCAGGTGCGGGGGACACCCTGGACAGGTCAACAAGTCCATCACAAGGACACAGAGACAAACGAGACAGACAACCATTCTCTCACTCACACATAGGGACAATTTAGAGTTACCAATTAACCTAACAGACATGTTTTTGGTCTGTGGGAGGAAGCCGGAGTACCCAGAGAGAACCAACGCACGCACAGAGAGAACATGCAAACAGAACTCTACCCAGAAAGGTCCCCGAGCCGGGATTTGATCCGTCGACCTTGCTGAGATTAGCTCTACCAGCTGAGCCGTCGTGCCGCCGAAATAAATAATAAAATATAAGTGGGACATTAATCACTAGGATTTAACACTCAGAGTGAGCTAAATAATAAAAATATGTTAATGGCAATTTTTTGTATGTTATTTTAAATTTGGCACCTCATAGAAAAATTTGTTCATGGTTTTGCCAAATTGTCTATGGGTGGTTTCGATACAGTTTCAACACCTTTTCAATTATTAAAAGCTTTATAATTTTGACTAACTTTGATCTCAAATATTTTTACTAAACTTACCAAAAAAAATATGTGGGGTCATAGCTAAGAGTCATCCTTAACACACACTCTGAGTGTGAACACATCTCATTATAAATTCATCCTTCCTAAACACAAAATGGTCTTTGTTTATAAATCACTGAAAAGGTACTAGGTAATATGGAAATTCAATGATAAATGATAGGCCTTTATTTGAGTTGATATTCAGCCGTGTCCAAAACTTCTCAATGCTACGTAGACGGTTGCTGCAGCTCTTGTCGGCAGTTTAGCATCAGAGTTTATAATGAATGAAACCAATAGAGGCTGATTAATTTCAAGCCTGCTCTTCATGGTCCTTCTTTCCACTTGTCTGCTCATTTTGTGCTCTCTCGTTCCTGTCTTCCTCACCCTTCCTTCCATTATTATGCTGAGCATTACACGTCTATAATTATGCATCTATTTCAGACCTTCCTGGTGAAAACAACTCTCTTATTGCCTCTCGCTAAACATAACAGATGTACGCCTGCATGACCGCAGCAAACATTTTATTATCTAAATGTGGAAAAGGAGTTGTCTTGTTTAGCATGAGTAAACAGGTTTTCACAGTCAAAATTAGCATATGCTTTTGGAAGCAATTATATTCAAGAATTCACACATTATCTCAAAATGAGATTTTAAAGTTTACTTCTACTCACTACCAGAAATTGTTTATCTTTCATGCTTCAGCAAATCTTTACTTTTTCCAACAGCAAAAAGTATATTTAATCAGATATTTTTAAGTTACACATTTCCACTAATATTTTATTGCTATTTAGCTCAGTGTTCTTACACTTGACAAATATTTTTTAATAAATTGAAATGCTAAATAATATACTGTATGCCAATATTAAATTCTAAATGTAAAAGTCAAATCTTGAATGTTGTGGTGAAATGTTGAAGCTCGAGTATTTCAGAATGGTGCTCAGCTCATGTTGTGATGTCATCATCCTGAGACAAAAACAATCCCAAAAGTTGCTAATGCTGCTAACACGTCCCTATAAAACATGAAACTTGAACTTTCCATACCAGCCATATTGTTTTCAATGAACACATTGTGAATTTAAATTTTAAAAACCATCTTCAGCAGCGTTAGCAGCGTTAGCAGCATTAGAAATCATCATCTTGCGACAAAAAGCATCTGCTAACACTCCTGAGGATGCCATTCGAAATGTGTTACTGTCAACATTTAAGATTTAACATTTACATTAGACGTTAACATTTAGATTTAAGATTTAATATTTACATATTTATTTTAAATTTAACATTTAGTAAATTTTTGAAAGGTGTAAGAACAGTGAGCTAAACAATAAAATGTTAGTGGAAAATTTTTACCTAGGATATTCTACTCAGTAAGTGAGTTAAGTAATGAAAATATGACCATTATAACATTTTTTTTTACACTTGGCACCCCATAATGATGTCGTTCTGTGGATTTATGCATAAGACAGTAATTTCTTCTGGACCCTCTAGCTCTCAGGAGAATGAGCTGGATGGAGCAGCTGCACCTGACATGTCTCCTGTAGTCGCTCTGCAGGTGTTCGAAACTGTTCTTACATAATGTCAGGCTGCCTTGACCACCCTGTGGGATTCATCTTTGTCACGGAGAGCCCTGATGAGACAGAGTGATGGAACATCTTGTTAAAGCACAATGAACACTGTCTTCTCTGTCTCTCTCTGGTTTGTCTCTTTCAGATGCAGCTGCTAAGAAAGGTTTCATCTCAGAGGTGAGATCAAATCTGTCTCTGTGGTCATGCCTTTTTAATTCTTTTATATTTTTACATACCCATATTTTCTGTTTTTGTTGTTTTATCTGAAGTAAAACTTGAAAATGGGCCTGAAGGCAACCTGTTGTATATGTTTTTATATAGATATACATGAAGTATATTTTTGTCAATTCAATTAACTTGTAGAAGTTAAAGCAAACATAATGTTGTGAATTTAACAATGCATCACTTTTACACATTTACACAGTTTTTATCTATAACTAAGAAAGCGTGCCAAAGTACAGAGCTGTCTGATATGTTGCAGATACTAAGTATCTCACACAAGTCCACTTAAAAATGAACTCTATCCTCTGACTGTGTAAAATAATAAATTTACTGAGCGAAAATAAACATCTCTGTAACACTGATCTGCCTCTTCATCTTCTCAGATGCCCTCGTCCTCGGGCCAGGTCGGTCAGGGCAAGAAGATTGGCCACAGAGGAGTGGATGCATCAGGAGAAACTACTTACAAGAAGGTGTTATAAAAGATTTGGGGGTTACCTAAATATTGTTTCTGCTTTTCAACGTGATATTTATTTTAAAATGCCTGTTCAATCACTTCAAGTTCCTCCTTGCCCCTGTAGACAACATCATCAGCCTTGAAAGGTGCCATCCAGCTGGGAATCGGCTACACAGTTGGCAACCTGAGCTCCAAGCCTGAGAGAGACGTCTTAATGCAGGATTTCTACGTTGTGGAAAGTATTTTCTTCCCCAGGTTGGTACTAATCTATCATTGATCTTACATCAGTCAGGGTTCCTACATAGCCTTGAAATGTATGGAAAGGTATGGAATTTGTTTTTAGCATTTTCTACGTCAGATTAAGTATGTAAAGAAGAAAATATGGAAATACCTCTCAGTTTTCAGGCTTTATTCCCTATTAACACTTCTAATTGATAATAATCTGAATTTCTTAAAATAAATTGCTCTAACAGGGATTTTTTTTAAAGATTTTTTTTATTATGCAAAGTCATAGTTTTAGTTAACGTTAAAATAACATTTTGTAACACTAGCTGGGATCAGACATGACTCACATTTTTCACCAAAGGGTCATTTTGACTTAATTAATTGGATCAAAGAACCAAAATTCTACTGAAACATGGGCAAAAAATGCTACCTGCATGTATCATGCAGCGCATCACATCATCTGCCAAAATACACAGTAAAAATTGCTTCATTTCATATGAAAAGCTAACATTTACTGTATTTTTTTTTAATTGTTGAATTCTTTATATAAATAATATTTTCAGAAGGTTTGTCAGATACGGATGCCGAGAGCGGCCGTTTTCTGTATATAATTATTTTCCATGGTTTTCTCATGATAGCGACTTATTATGTCGAAATAACGAGGACCATTTTCTCAAAATAGTTAATTTCCTGATGGTTTTTCTCTCGTGTATCAATCAGTAACCATGGAGATGACTTGATTATCAATGAAGTTTGATGATTCTGCCACAGAGAGAATTTCCTGAGTTTGGAACAAAAAACAAACACACATTTGCTTTATTCTGCGGCATACAAATATTTGTTTTTTTTAGCGTTAATAAAGCTTAAATATAGGAAGTAAATTAGCAGAAACATGAGTTGAAAGGCTGCGTTGCTCCCTCTGAGTGAAAAGCGCGCAGAGTGAAGAAGAAAATGTTATCATATCTGCCCTTGCCAAATTTATGGTCTGTGTAGCATCTTAGCTTTTGTAGGTTTCTGAACAACAGTTTCCATGAAGCCTTCACTTGACGCTCTATAAAACCCCTCTCCATCCGTGTACTCTGCGTGCTTCTAGTTTATTTATGTGTTTTGGTGCTCTTTTATTTGTGCTTCTGTCAAAAATGTGGAACAATAAAGATTTCCTAATCTTGATTTAAATCTGACCACTGTAAATTATATAAATACATTTGTGATAAGGAGTCTTAAATGGAGCATTATTATTTATTGATGAACTTTTCTGCTTTGTTTCTTCTTGTAAATACAGTGAAGGCAGTAACCTCACCCCAGCTCATCATTTCCCCGACTTCCGCTTTAAAACATACGCTCCTGTGGCCTTCCGCTACTTCAGAGAACTGTTTGGCATCAGGCCAGATGACTATCTGGTAAGATTTAGTACTTGAATAAATAAAAACACTGTTAATTTGTACTCTGTTTAATAATCAAAATGAAGATTTATGCTGGTTTGATATGAAAACTGGATGACTAGCATCAGCTGAAGCAATGTATCTGTTCACTTTGGGATAAATCTTGACAGAGCAGGAGAGAACAACGGGAAGACATGTGAGACAATGAACAAAAACAAGTGAATCAGTGGAACGGCTGTTAATAAAGATTAGAACTGAGAGGAATAAATTGTTTAGTAGAAGAAAACTGAAACCAATGGGTCAGGAAAGAAGGGTGAGAAAGCAACCTAAAAAAGTTTCTGGAAGTAGGTCCTGTGGACGGGTTCTTCTTTAATGAAAGGTTTCGTCAGTCTGAAGAGTTTCAGGTAAACTCAGCCTTAGGATGAGAAAAAGTTAAAGAAAGATGAAGAAAGTCTGGACCCAGTCTGCATCAGTAATGTTAACCTGTGGAGGCTGCGTGATTCACCAACCAACCTGAAGTCATCTGGCTGCATGTAAGTCAGGGTTTTTGTGTTCCACATGCCCACTTGTTTTTAACGCATTGGTCCTCCAAGCATGTTGTAATACTACATCGCCTCCTGCTTTTTCCATTCTATCCCAGCCTGCCTGTGGGCACACATCAGCATATGTCGTCTGGAGACATGGTGTTACTAACTTACTGCTGCCTCATTAGTGATATTTTTAACTCTGGTGACACCAAAGGTGTAGAAATGACTCAAACACAAACACTAAGTATGCCTGCTCGATTCTTTTGCCTTTTGCTTATATTTATATTTTATATTTGGAGAAGGAGGCCTCTGCAGTCACTAAAGCCTCATTTACAAGACAGGTCAGTACGGGGCCGACACGTGTTCTGTCTCCCTCGGATCATTCAGAATACACACTGAGGCATCGGGGGGGGTCAAAGAGAGCCTGCCTCTGCGGCGCCGAGGGAGGTGGTGTCAGAGGCCGACTTGTGAAAAAAAACCCTGTGGTGCCGAGGCTCAGTAATGATAATGAACTGATGATATTAGTGAGTGACCGTCCCGCTCGCAGGAAACATCAATAAGATTTATTACAGAGGGAATACTGAGGATAACGCAGAACAGCAACTTTGTAGTTAGTTTAAAAACAAATTGAACCTCAATGAGGATTAGTAAATAAGTTGATTCAGTTGGTTTTGTGATAAGAGGCTCCACTTCAGCCCAGCTAAATTCTTCTCCACACCTCTTTTGGTTGTACACTGCAGGGTTAATTTCTTCACCTGTGATTTATGAGTGACCCGAGGGGGATAAAAGACGGACTGGTCTGTGTAGCGATCTCCCGGAACTGTCAAGTGAATGAGGCTTCTGTAGGATTTTATAAGGTGTGGGTGTAGTTTGGGTCAGATTGACTTAAAAGATGCTTGCAAAAGATGTGATGTATAATGATAATTGGTGAAATTCAGTTATTATCTGATAATTGTAGAGGAAACACTATTATGTAAAGGAACAAGTATTATAATCTTTTAGCTTTTAAATCTGTTTATTTTGTTGCATTGAATCATAAATTTAAACTTTTGAATAAATTAATTTTAAAAATATATATAGTTTTTCATTGAGAGACCACCGTTTAAATTCATAAATGCATAAACAAGTTCTTAAATGTGCACATTTCAAACTGCTCACGTTAAAATGTGCCACTCATTAAAATGGTCAAATGTTAACATGAGCTGGCCTGGCCGTACATGTGACTCTTATACTTTTTTCACACTTTATATTGACAAATGTAATGCTGTGTTTAAGGCTGAAACAATAAGTTATTCTAGTCTGACATGAATAACGTCTGACATTATTAGCAAATTTTTATACAGTTACTATATTTAGAATCCAGTAACATCAATGTAAGCGTATGTGTTTTAGTGTATGAATTATGAACTACTGTATTCCAGTGTTCTGGTGTGTCCCAGCTTTCCACCAGCCTTGAAAGCAGCATTACATTTGTGTTGACTGATTTGTCCTCGGCAGGCAATTCATGCACACAAATTCCATGATGTCCTCTGTTATGGCAATATTTTTTTAACAAAGACAGAAATACTTGGTCCAAGAATGAAGGTACTCCGTGGGATGATCAGCTGAGTTTTATTGCAACAACAGGAAACACAGAGAACAACCTGCCCTGTCTCTGTGCCTCTGCTTCTCTCTGTCACTCCACTCTGCCCACTGTCGAGAGCCTTCATATACTGTATATATTAGGGGTGTAAGAAAATATCGATACACTGAAATATCACGATATTTCATTTCCCGATACTGTATCAATATTCTAAAGCCCTGTATCGATTTTTTTATTAAGGTTTAAAATGTCAACTTTCCTGCCAGCCATTCATTTTTATGTTGTAGTTCAGCCTCTGACCACTAGTTGGCAGCAGTGAGCCAGACATTTTGCTACTCTACCTCTTGAGGTAGTGGCTATTGTTAAGTGTTGGGTGACATATTGTAAATTAAAATAAAAAACTAAAAGCTGCAAAAAATATATTTTCAAACTATTTGTTGTCAAATTTAGTCTAATAATTGAAAACATGGATGAAATAAGAAACATGAAACAAATAAAATAAAATGCATACAAAGCAGAACACAGCTAAATGTATCAAAAGCATGTCTATGTGATATTAGAATTTTCTGAGACAATGAATTTTGGTTTTTCATTTTTTTTCCCCTGTAAGAGGTTTTTATTTAATAGAATTTTTGGACAAAAAAATCGCAATATATCGCCTTGCTTATAGTATCCCAATATATCGGGATATATCGTATCGTGACCCCTCTGTCATGATATGTATCGTATCGCCAAATTCTTGCCAATACACAGCCCTAATATACAGTACTATATATTAACAAACACCATTCTGTCATCTTAGCAAGATTTGATACAAGGTCAACGGAAAACACAAAGATAAACACAAGTGATATCTAAGAATGATTATCGAGGTTAGCAAATCTTGTTCTGACTTTAATCATTCTATCTGCAGATGAACAGCAAGTCATGAAAATCTAGATCATTAAAGGATGTCATGAATTACTKGCTTAAACATAAAAGTATTAGTTCCACCACATCCTCAATATTCTCGAAAAAGTATATTTCTACTAGCATAGTTTAAAATGTGCACATTTGAAAAACTGTTTACTTGTGAATCTCTTGGTACGTATTTGTGAATCTGGTTGTATGTTTGTGTGAATACTTTTGAGACTAAAATATCTTCATATTGGAAAAGTGAGTTGAGCTAAACAAGTAATGGATAATTTAGAGATTTATTAAAGGGTCGCCATTTTTTGTTTTCGCTAAGATCGATCAGCTGTGGCAGCCATCTTGAAATGGTCGGACCCCAAAAGTTGATCAGCTTTTGCTACGGATTCAATGATTGTCTGAGAGTTTTATTAAAATCTATTAAAGAGAGACAAATGAACACCTGCATTCACATTCAATTACATTATCACCCATCAACAACAATGGCTTGTCTGATTAAAGCTCTGGTCTCTGTTTCATTCTGCAGTACTCTCTTTGTAATGAGCCGCTCATCGAGCTGTCCAATCCCGGTGCTAGTGGGTCCGTCTTCTACCTTACAAAAGACGATGAGTTCATCATCAAGACTGTGATGCACAAGGAGGCTGAATTCTTACAGAAACTGCTGCCTGGATACTACATGGTAAACAAATAAATTGTGTGAAGACTAAGCATATGTGTGGTGCGGTATCTAAAAGTAAAATAAATAAATAAAACTGCTAAAAATAAGTGTTAACAGAAAGTGTAAATAAAACTGAGTTGCAGTATGTTGTAACAGAAATAAACCACATTTTGTTGCTGGTAGGGTTGGGCAGTATTGATCATTTTCATACACTTTAGAAAAGTCACAGAATGGCTATTGCCTCTTATGTCAAACAGATCAAAATATGATAAACTACGTCTTTTTAATGTTTTAAGTTTCAAAATATTTGGACTTACAACGTTTGTATCTGCACTGCTGCATCCTTTTAGCCAGTCTTTGTGCTGATTAAGTTTGTAGTTATTACCTGGAGATGTTTCCTCATCTGCAGCCTGCAGCGCTCGTCTCAGGGGTGAAAAAAAAAAAACTCACAGCAAGTTTAAATCCGAAAGCAGTCCAGCTATGATGATTTGACACAAAAATCCCACTGAGTGGTTCTGAAACTGTTAGCACTACACCAGCTCACTATTTCAGGGGCTGGGGAGTGACGTTTCTGTCTCTACGCTTTGACGTTTTTAATTTTTTTAACCCTGCTCAAAGGTTTAGAGGCAGAACCGATGAGTTGTCTTCTGAATGGGCTGTGGTGGTCACATGTCAGTAACATTATGGGGCATCTTCTGAAAGAACCCAGAATATTTATGTCCCAGTTTTCTTAGCAGCCTTGTGGACATTGATGGAAAATTTTGCGCATCACCTCACATAACTAATACCTTCATAATTTCTAAATACGTCACCATATTTCAGTATTGCAGTATAACAAAACATCTCCATACCGTCCAAGCCTTAGTTGCTGGCTTTTCTTTTTGCTGAGTTGTTAACACTGTCAGGTTTTATTTTATTATTTATAGACTTTTGTTTAACCAGGCAAAACACATTGAGATCACATATCTCTTTTGCAAGGGCAGCCTGGGCCTGAAGGCAACCTAACATGCATGTTTTTGACTGTGGGAGGAAACCGGAGTATCCGGAAAAAACATTCTCAAACAGGGGGTGAACATGTAAGCTCCAAACAGAAAGACCCCGGGTCCAAAGCGAGGATCAAACTCAGGACTTTTTTTTCTGCGAGGCTTCAGTGTTAACCACTGAGCTGTCATACAGGTGATGCATGCTGGGTATTAAATGCTGGGAATAAGTGAGAAGTGATAAGAGTGATCTAGTTCAGGGGTTCTTAAACTTTTTGACCTCGGTGCCCAATTTGTTGAACATAAAGTGGCACGAGGCCCAGTCAGACATTACTAATGTATGGATCAAAATGATAATTATTCTAATCTAAATATTGGTTTAATTTTTATTGTGTTTACATCATAACTAAAGTATCATAACTAACATAACTAAATTAAATACACTTACAGTTTAAAAGTGAAACTCCTGTCAAATAATCACAAGACATGCTTATGACAAACATT